TAAGTTAGGTACAAAGGTCTGAGTAATTATTCAAATTCATCGACAGTAGTATTTGAACTCCAGACTTCTTGTATGACGGTCTAGCAACCTAACTACCACACTAAGATCACCAGACCTGTCTTTTACATTCAGTATTACTATTTTGATTTTGTTCATATAATAAAAGAGATTTGTTAGATTAGTTATTGAGTATTTTAATACTCTTGGTGACAACCACCTTTTGTTTTATTGTCAGATACAAGATTCTTTTTTCTTATAGGTCTTGATGATTTGACACGATTTTGTTCTTTCTTTTTTGATTTGTTTTTAGATATTTTTGAGATATTTGTTGTATATGCACTATTATCTATACTATTATTTTCATTTATTTCTATTAGAACAGTATTTTGATCAGTATTAATACTTTCAATCTCTATATTTGTAGTAGAAGATGAGGTTGTAGCTGAAGCTTGTTCTTGAATTTCTGAGTTACTGCTCATTAGAGGTTGATTTTCTGCTACTAGTTTTACTAGAGGATGCTCTTAATAGCATATAGTAGTTGTATCAGTTTCTGTAGTAAGAAGTTTAATGTTATCTATAGTAGCCTTATTTGTTTCAGTAATATATAGATTGTTTGTGCTAAAGGAGAAGTTAGAGCTTGTAGTAGTTTTATTTTTTGAGCTTTTTTTTCTTTGTATAGACATTTTAGCTCAATTGAATGTTTGAGTTCCTTACAATTTTTTTTCACATACTCTTCTTTTTCACAGTAATAGCAGACTTTTGGGGCTTCCTTTTAGTTAGTAGTAACTTTGTGATCTTCTACATGAGTAGTTCTAGGTAGTCTTGTAGACAGGTTTAGGTCATCTGTTGTTTCAAAGAAGATGATCCATTAGTCTGAACAAACAGAAGTGCCTTCAAAGAAGAGAGATTTAATTGAAGCAATTGATTCTAGATCTTAGAATACTTCTCTGATAAGAGCACTTGTTTCATCTTTATCTCTCATTAGAGTATTTCTAAACTTAACTGTGAGAAAAATATATTTAAAGTTAAATGGAATATAGCCAAAAAGAGTTTGTTTAAAAAGGTTAATTTCTTTTTTTTCATAGAATTTTTGAGAGTCCTTGTTGTTAAATACAACTTCTAAGTGAACCTTTTTGCCTCTGATGATATGAGCTTTAGCTGCTACTAGTTTGTTTCCTAATTTTGTTGCAAGAGCTAAGATAATATCATTAGTAGTGATGTTGCTTAGATTTTGAATATCAAAAATGAGAGCGTTCTCATTTTTGGAGTGAATTCTATGCCTAGGAAAGGCTTGGACAAAGATTGCTTTGCTTTCCCTTAACTTAGTAAAGAGATCTAATCACTGCTTAGACTTAGAAGATTTGTTAGCAGGAGTGTTGTCTTTTTGGTTATTTGAGGTGATACCTGTTTTTAATTAGAAGGAGGTAGCCTCTTGAGTTTCAGTCACGTATTTGTTATCAGAAAACACATATTTGTTTTGGTCATCTGTTTTCATCAAATTTTCTTTTGTTGTTTTTTCTTTGTTTATCAGAAGCTCTTTTGTTTGCAAAAAGAAGAGGTTTTCTTTATTTTCTAAAGATATTTCTGTTTTAACCTTATTAGTCTAACTAGGATTTTCTAGAGAGCTTTTGTCTGAATTAGTTTCTGAGTTGTCTTTCGATCTGGTATTAGGTTTATATTCTGTTTTGTTAGAGGTTTCTTCTTGGTTTAATAAAAGATTAAAGATTTTGTTTTCTATTTTCTAGGTTGAAAGCTTGAGCTTTTTACTTCTAAGACTACTTATGTTAAAAGTTAAAAGTAGAGAATCGATATACACTT